ATCCGGCGATCCACAGCACTAAGTTGATGTATTCCCTCAGCGACCAGCACAGATCAGCTCCAGGCATGACGAAGCGGATATCGTCCTCTTTTGGAAGACCAAACAAAGTAGTTTCGTTTTCACAACGAAGCACACAGCGTCTTCAGGACATGGCGGCAGCGGCAACAATACTACAGCGAGAATAAAAGTTACGCCTTCTTTCTTTGCGAGAACATTTGGGCGGCGTTATGCAAATCTTCCCACATAGCGAGGTAGATATGTGGGGGCGTGTTCGAACGAGCCGTTTTAGGTAGGTGTGGCTGACTCTTAACTTTTATAAAGAATATCCCTTTGGATTTGAGACTTTAGTCTTTGCAAATTTACAGATCTTCTTTATGCACCAAGAGCTTGTAACACTCAAAAGAGAAAGGAAAAAATGAAATCACATCATATGACCCCTTTAAACAACAGATGACGTAACATAAAACCCAAATGTACATAAATGATAACAAAAACTATTAAGAAACATGATTATATAAACAAAATGCAGGGGATTCTGGGAATATCAGTTTACAGTTTTTGACTGTAATTTATAGTTGATTTGTTTATTTCTAAAAACTGTACAATTAACAGCATTTTACTGTAAAATTACATTAAATATCTGGTTAGATCTTTTAGTTTTTCCCTGACGTATACAGTACAGGAACATACTGTCAACCTATAAAACTGTTTTTTTCTCCCGTAGTGTTTTAACAATATTTTACAGTTAAATTTATACTCATTGTTTACAGTGTTTAACTAATGTATAGGATCTTGTCGTAAAATGTTACCAGTTAAGCTCTATAAAAACAGGTAGCATCCGTAGTACATAGTAATCACCAAAGAAAATAATTTCCATTATTATTTCAAGTAATTAATGTCATTTAATATAGTAATTAATGTTAACATTTCTTCTTTAAAACACTCCTGGCCTAGTTTACTTCCATTGTACAGTAATTGCACTACTGTAAGCTTTTTTCCAATTTACAGAATTAGGCTATTTTCTGTGGTAATCAACACGGTCACAAACGCCATTAATAGAGGACAGCATGTAATTGAAAATTCAGGACTTTACTGTAAGATACATACCAATCGGGTATTTAAAAATGAGTGTGTCAGCAGACTGGTCTTCACCTTTCCCCACTTTCTATATGTCAGTACATTTCAGTGTGTCACTTTCCCAGTCTCCCATGAATAATCATTTATCCTCATTTGGAAAGCTGGTTCTACTCATTGGGCAGGTGGCCCTTGAGAATCGGATGGTTAACAAATTTTGCATATTCCATGTTCAAGAACAAGGTGGCATTAATACAAAATTGATAAGTTTAGTGTATCAGCCATCAAATCCTAGGAAATGCATTCATCCGTTCCGCCACTGATGGAAGGTTAAAGTGCCCCCTCAGGCAAAAGATTAGCCAAGGACACTACTGTATTTCGATCCAATAAATGCAGCCTTGGTGAGCGCAAGAGACTTCTTTTAAAGAATTTAATAATTTACACGTCATGCTTTGTGGGTGAAAAAGGAATAATTTAAGTCACCTCATAACATCTTCGTAAGTAAAAATATACCTCCGCTATGTGGAATAACTGATGACACAAACAAAAATTCTGTGCCTATCCTGCACTGTCACAGTGTCCTCTGCCTTTCCATAGCCTACAGGCCTGCAGATTAGTGCAGTCACTTAGTCGAAGAAGAAGCTATTGAATGCGGGAAAGAGGAAAAAAACTGAAAGAAATGGGCAGGAGATGAGAGAACACCTTAAGAATATAAACCATCCATCAGGGCTGCAAAATATTTACAACTGACGACTAGCAAGCACATGATACACTCGGTGTCCCCATAATGTCTCAATCACAAATGATTCTTGAACTTGATCGGTCAAATATCTCAGACTAAATACAAACCCAATTCCAAAAAAGTTGGGACACTGTACAAATGTTTAAAATTGTAAAAATATTTCATAATATTACTGTTTTTACTCCAATAACTGTATATACATATACTAAAATAAGTAAATCCTGATTCCCTCAATCTGCATGCATTGAAATGGACAGTACAAGCAGAACTGATCCCAAAAATGAACTGGACATATTTTTTTTACAATCTCAATACTTTGTAAAGATCCATAGATGCCATCAAAATTCAAATCGGAGAAAAAAGACACACTAAAGATCTGGCGAGGAACCCAGTTTAGCGTCATATTATGTGTCTCAGATGTGTGTGTATCTTTAAATCTAGCTGAAGAGACATTTGGAAAACAGTA